TCTCTCTCCATTCTTCTCAACCCACATGCTTACTCATATTTTCTTTTAAGGGGTGTTTAGAAACTAAACTATAATTTTAAAAATATTTTTACAGTTACAAAATAAATATAAAGGAGTTTGTCTGTTTTATAAAAAAAATGCTTTTCAAAAGTGATTTTGAGGGTAACAAACACTCCCTTAGTCCATCTCTCATAATCTACTTTTTGTTACTACATCGTCGTATCGGATTGATTTATTCATAATTAACCCCCCCAATTTTGACCGGAAATTTTTTAAAAAAAAACCTCACAATTCTCAGCCTCATAATCATATTCTGCTTTTTCAAAATATTCATATATGTATTTATTCAGCTCCAAAATCAATGTCGGGGGGGTTCTTTACCATACGCACAACAAAAATTCATTTTATGTAACAAATTAAAGAAGGAAAGAGAAGCTCCTGGTAGTGCGAGGACGAGATGCGCCGGGAGAAGGGAATTAAAAATTAAGAATTAAAATAGTTGTCAAATGCGCCTTGTCAAACTGGGAGGATGCATTCACGTACATATGGGGAAAACAGTAGCGTCTTCTAGCGTGTTCCGAGGGAGATAGTATTCCCGGGGGACCCTTTTCCAGAAGCATCCTTTGACTCTTCCACGCCGTCAGATCATCCCTTTTCTCCACGTGGTCCACATACAGCCCTAGATCTCCTCAGCACGTACTGTTACCGCAACCCCCATCTCGTAAAATCACATCGCCCCTTCTTGCCTATAAATTTATGCTCCACACTTCTTTCCCTCCAGCTAGCATCTTTGTTGTGGTCGATTCCTTCAGCTCGGGCATCTTCCCCGTTCTCTATCCTGATCTCTTCTGCTCCCTGTTACCTAGGAGTCTAGAAGCCTCTTTCATTCGGATCCTTTCCTCTTCAACGCTTGCCGTCTTTGATTCGTCCCTCTCACTTTTGAAAACATGGCTCCTGAACTCGTCCCTACCGTAGTTAAATCCGGTGGTTTCACCGGCCCGGCCACGCTGCCGAGTCGCGCCTATGTCACATTTCTTGCGGGGAATGGAGACTACGTCAAAGGCGTTGTGGGTCTGGCGAAGGGTCTGAGAAAGGTGAGGTCGGCGTATCCCTTGGTGGTGGCCGTCCTCCCCGACGTACCGGAGGAGCACCGTCGGATCTTGGAGTCTCAGGGCTGCATCGTCCGGGAGATCGAACCCGTTTATCCCCCCGAGAACCAGACTCAATTTGCCATGGCCTATTACGTTATCAACTACTCTAAGCTCCGCATCTGGGAGGTACCTTCTTAGTTCCTGCTTTCTTCGTCGTTACGTCTTACGTTGTCTAGATGTCCTGGTAGGATCCGTTGTAGAACTCATGACGTTGTTCGTCTTCTCACTGGGCCCCGTGTCCGCGGAGGTCCATCAGCATTTGTGTAATTGAAAGTTGATAATTGAAATTCAATTATTTGAATGGGTTTACCAAATCTTTTACCGGGCGGGTGCTTGTATTTCACTTATTTTTGTGGTCGTAATAAATTCAAATGAAATGATTGCAGTTCGTGGAATATAGCAAGATGATATATTTGGACGGAGATATTCAAGTGTACGACAACATCGACCATCTATTCGATCTGCCGGGCGGACACTTCTACGCAGTCATGGACTGCTTCTGCGAGAAGACTTGGAGCCACACCCCGCAGTACAAGATCGGGTACTGCCAGCAATGTCCTGACAAGGTACAGTGGCCTGCTGAGATGGGTGAACCACCTGCTCTGTACTTTAACGCCGGCATGTTCGTGTTCGAGCCCGGCATGGTGACATATTACGATCTCTTGAAAACACTCCAAATCACTCCTCCCACACCTTTTGCGGAGCAAGATTTCTTAAACTTGTACTTTAAGCCCATTTACAAACCTATTCCCTTGGTCTACAACCTCGTCCTCGCAATGTTGTGGCGCCACCCTGAGAATGTGGAACTTGACGAAGTCAAAGTTGTTCATTACTGCGCTGCAGTAAGTTATCAGTCCCCGAAGTTTAATTGGTTTAACAGTTCAATTTTAACTAGGTGACACTGATAAGAGGATTGTATGATGAATGTTGAACAGGGGTCGAAGCCGTGGCGATATACAGGGAAGGAAGAGAACATGGATAGAGAGGACATAAAGATGCTGGTTAAGAAATGGTGGGACATATACAACGACGAATCCTTGGATTACGATAAGGGCAGAAGTGGAGTCCAAGGTGATGCTGAATCAGTGAAGAGGGAATCATTGATGGCAGCAATGTCGGAGGCTGGTCAACTCAAGTACATAACAGCCCCTTCTGCCGCTTAATATAACTCCCGCCACGATGGCCGGACTCTACCCACAGAATGGGACCCAGATGGAGCGTTGGTGTTTCAACGAGATTGGTTCCTTTGATTTCTTGTAAAGGTCGGGGAGGTGGTTTTTAATTTTCCATATTGGGTTGGGATTTTGTTTTTTACGCTTAGGTTAAGCCGTGCCTGTTCAAGTGTTGGGGCTTGGCGCTTCTCGGCAGGGGGATCGCTTTTGCTCTGGTCCTTTTTAGAATTTGCACGCCCGCGTATATTTGTCTTCGCCTATAGGATGTGTCAACGTCAATATTTGTAAAATTTGCTACGTAAGTAATGTTTATGAAGTGAAATGTATTTCACGATGCAAGGAATTGTACTATTTTCTATGTCCGCTGGCCAATTGCGAACAACGTGCTTCTCTGCTCCCACGGTTTTTCCGGTTCGCTTGGGTATCATCTATACTTTGTATGTTGTTTTTGTAAGATGTAGCATAGATGAGAAAAAATGTAGTTAAAATAATACACAAGGAACATTTAAAAAGTAAATTGTATTTGTTCAAATAGATTTTTTTTCTAAAATATCTTTTTATCGTGTATTTAGAACTATCATTGTTATGTTATTTTGGACAATGTATAATATAAGAGACAAAGTGGACATAATAAAATAAAAATCAAATAGAATATCAAAGTATCAAAATAATTTCAAAGTAAAGTTGCGGGTTTCTATTGTAATATTATCAGAACAGTTGGGGGGAGTGTGTTTTGAGAAAACGTTAGTCAAGCGTTTCTTGAAAATTCTGTTAAATGTAAAAAGTGCAGCTGGTCCGCGTGAGAAAATATATGAGCATCATGAAAATATTCCGGCTGGATGTCTGAGCAAGACGTCAAGTGGCTTTCAGCAGGTACTGAAGGGTCCATACTAAGCGGTGGAAGAAGGGCCTCGGTTTGAAGCAATGTTGTGAATTAATGTGACATTTTAGCTTTTGTTTTCCCTGTTTTCCTGCCGAGAAAGGTGAAATGAATGGACCATATGAAATGACGGTCCATCGGTGGGTCTCCACTTGTAGAATGCTTCAACCTTCAATCAGTAACTACAAACTCGTAGCAGTGAGGTGAGCAGTAGCACGCCAACCTGAGGTTGATGCCGAGCTTGTAATGGTGAACGAGTTTTGGCAGGCTGGAAGAAAATGATTGATGCTTCTGTGGTTGGAAATTGAAAAGGGAGCAGAATTCAGCTCAACATATGGAATAGGAATCCATCGTCCGAGCCAAGGCAATGCCTGCTGCTTTTAGCATGAAAATGAGATTCCAACCCTCTGCAGTGCTTTGAGGACAAACGCCTAGTATCGTTAAATTTACGGTTCTAATATATTTAGAATGGCCGAAAACATAGTTTTGACCATTGGGTCAACCGGCAGGTTGGCCCATAACCAGTTAGGATTAAGTGGTGCAGGTTGAAAAAGGTTCGTGTAATGATGGGTTGGCTAAACTAACTCGTTATGGTGAATTGGCCAACCTGCTAACTATTATTATTATTATTAAATATTTTTCTTATACAATATAAAGAAAAATGTAATGAAATTTTTATTTTTCTTTCAAATATTTAATTGAAAACACTAAATAAATGATATTAATATTTTTTAAACTTTTTTTAGGTAGGATGTAACATATAATGATATAATTATAATAATTAATAAAAAATTTTAAAAAAATGCGGGCTAGCCCAACACGACAAGTTGTAGGTTATGCTGTGCGGTTAAAAAGTTTCGGGCTAGAAGTTTGATTTTTAACCAATCCTAACATGTCTTTTTTAGCGGGTTGACGGGTTAGACCTTTAGGTACAACCTATAGTACTGACTCTAGTCCCGTGTTACCAGGATGATGTATGAGTTCCTTCTTAATGAGAATGAGCTGCAAATTATCGTCGAAAAAAATTGTTGGAAGAGCACGCAGTGCCTCAGTTTTCAAGAGCGCGTGTGATAAAAATTATGCAAGTACCAGATTTTATCAAATATTTAATAAATCATCTTAGTAATATGCAGTATTTTCCCATTTCCTTCGGCAAAACAAAGTGTTTTCCCACTTCTCATACAATATGTAGTTTTCTTCTATCACTGGCACGTAAATTTCTGATTTTTATCGATTCTTTATGCCCTCTAGATTTCAGGAAAACTAGACACATATCTCCATGTTATTTACTATACTAACTCCCATCCTAAAAATTTATAACTCCAAAATTAGTACTAAGTTTAAAAATATTAAGCAAATTAGTTAAGTTAGTTATTTGTTAAAAATATGTATTATTTTTCTTAAATTATTATCTTCAATCATATGTATCAAATATCAATAGAAATATTTTAAGAAAAATAAAAAACAAAGTAAATTAAGATATTATATTTAAAATTAAATTCAGTCCCACAATTAGTTCTTATATTAGAAATCACTGACTATTTTTATATTAAGGAGTCGAGATATTACATACATATTGGTATTGATATTCATGTCTGATTTTAGTTACAATCACTAGAAGAGGAATTACCAAAAGCCTCTTTTTTCAAAGTGTGAATTTTTAGGGCGATTTATAAATTATTTCCAAAAACTACTTGCATATAAATTCTGCGTATTTAAAACTACTTTCCTCCTGTTAACTCCTTTATGCTTTGATTTATGTTTCCGACATAAAAATTCAGTTCATCAAGAAGTGACTACTTAAAAAAGAGGAAATCAAAATTTCGACTCAAACCTCCACTTATCAGTTACTATTGGCTATCAGAGCATATGTTAGTTGATTATTGCTTCACAATCTGCCTTCAATGAAGTAACAGTTAAATAGCACTGCGATGTAATATTTGAGAAGAAAAGGATCATGGGTACAAAGCAAAATGCTCCGAAGAGGGCCAACTAGAAGTCTTTCTGTTTCCAAATGCTCATACAGCAGAAGCTGGCCCACCAGTCATCCTCACTGCCATTTCCCCACGTTCACCTGAAAAATTCACATTCAACTGCTTCTGAGTTTATGTGCTGACAGAACAAGTATGCAATTTTTCATGTGGACAATTCCACAAACAGGTTACCTGTGCGAACTCTTATAACATCTGCAACAGGTATCACTGCACAATCAATCGATAATCAATAATTCATTAAAACTGAGATTCCATCTCGAGTGACGACATTAAAATAAAATATTTTCTTCAATATATAGATCGTAGCATTGTTCTTTCTTTCACCAAAACATCCATTATGCGAACCTAGGCAAGTTAATAGACCCAATTCCATTCGCAAGAAATGCGCATCAGGTTAGTCTAAACTTTCACGTCCGGTTATCCTGATGGTTCTTGAAACAGCCCATCCAAAGCCAAATCTTCCATGCAGTGTAGTAAGTTTGATGCACACGAGGATATGAAACTAAACCAGAATTGAAGTATTTTACTTCCTCAGTTCTAACCTTGTCACAAGTAGAAGTGAAAAGAGAAGCACACATTAAACTTCATCTGCTGTGTGATGCAGAAGTTCTGCGGCATGGGGGCACTTTCAATGTTCTAGTATCTGAACTCACTGCTATATAATTAATCATTTCACTTAATCTGCATAATTCTTTTCTTTCTCTTGGCTTTTAGTTGAAAAAACTTTACTAATTACTCATCTCTAGCACGTAGACAGAAAAGCAATTAATTGCTCAGCAGGAAATCAATTAAGCTTTACACAATCTCGGGTTTGGAAAATCCATTCTCCCTGGAGACGAAGTAGAGGGATATCTACTACATGAGAATACGTAATGATCAACTTGAGACAGCCCATCAACATCCCTAAAACAACTGCACGTAAAGATTTATCCACATCCACACATACAATATAAATAAAGCTGCAAACAGTCAAGACAGTACACGTGGATTGGCAAAGAATGTTGAAGCCTTACAAAAAATTTTGCCATCACCAATCTCCCCTGTTCTTGATGTCTTGATAATCTTGTCTATAACTGCTTCAACCTAATTAAAAGATAACATCTAGTCAGAAATGATGCAGAGGGGTTATGGACTTATGGCTCCCTTATATATGATTGTTAGCAATTTTGAAAATAAGCTAGTAGAAAATCCAAGGCATATTAACAACTGAGGATTTCTCCTCTCTTCTTTACAAAATTGTCCATGCTTAACAAGAGAAGTACACGATCCATTTTAATGCAAAATGCCGCCCAAATTACCATCAAATGTCCACATACCTGACCCTTGCTCACTACTATTTCCAACTTAACTTTGGCGACAAAATTGTCTTCAGAAAATTCAGAGCCTGCATTGAAATCAGTAACCTAAAAGAGTCATGTAAGGCAGAATGTGATCATCTACTTAGGTATAGAATATGCATAGGTTAACATGCTAAACATGTTATTCCAAAAAAAAAAACTATGCTAGTATTTTGGTGAAATATATGAACGGCGTTGTTTTACTTTTTCCTTAAATAAAAGGAAAGTCACAATGACGTGAAATTCAACTCATTCAACATGACTCCCGCAATAAATTGGGGTAACGTTGTTATAAAGGCATTGAAGACATGTAGAAACAAGATGATATTTCTTCAGTTTTAAGTTTTAACTATTTGGTAGTTCGAAATGAACTTACCTCCCTGCCTCTCTTTTGAACCACCCTGAGATCCAAAGCCCCGGGCATCAGATACTGTGACGCCACGGATTCCCATTTTCAACAAATCCTTCATGGAAAAAATAATAATAAGGGAGGAATGGCACTAGGTCACTCAGTGGTGGTCGGTCAATAAAATAGCACAGGCCCGCCCAAATGAACAGTGCATCAGAAATATTGGCCAAGCCAATCCTTTAAATAAGTGGAGGAACATGACGTGACAAGAGACAACGATAGTTCTGGGAGGAAAACAAAAATCGGTAGGTTGGGCTTAGAAGACTTCCTATATGAAGATGCTTAGCCACGATCTTGAGTCCAAATATGACAAGGAAGCCATGAACTTGTCCATGGCCATGACCCATGCATAAATATTCGGAGGAACAATTACGCTGAACCTGAACTAGTTATTAATGCTGGATTCTACTTGTCTATTACCAGTTTAAGCGCCTACGAAGAGAGATGATGGGAAGTCACACCCAATCCAATGGAATTAAACCGCGGTTACATTTAGGCAGATGAGAACAAACAAGCTTTCAATAAGAGACTGGAAATTGTTACGAAACTAGCAAGCCTTTTTCAATCGATGGCCCATGGTGAGGATTCAGAATTTATTAAAACTACATTTAAGAAGGGTGATTACGTACCAAAGCAGAAACCCCCCCCCCCAAAAAAAAAAAAACACACACACACACGCAGAGACACACACACAAAAAAAAAAAAAAAAAAAACCTTCCTGCAGGGAAAAAGAGAGGAAGAAAGGAGAAATCGCAATACAGTCTGTGAGGATTTTGAAGAGTGAAATGAGAATATTCATATGTTGAAACAGTAAGCAAGCATTGTTAACGTCACTTTCACTGAAATGAATCACCTTCTCATAAGGTATCCCTGCCCCATTTAAAGAAATTACCGCAACGCTTAATTGCACATAATAGTGATCAAATCAAAGGTTAGCCCATACCGAAGAAACATGAGGGACTCGCCAAGGCCTGCTCCGTAGCAAATTCAACAAAATATGATCAATTAAGATCATTAGTCAGTTCACAAAACTTATCTCAACTTAACTAAGAAAACATCGGTCATTCCTTCCACTCCACATGCAGACAAAAAAGAAAGGGAGTAAAAAAGCTTCAAAACCTGAGAATCGCTTCCACCTTGTAGAACTTGGAATCGGGAACATAATCTGGGAGAGTGAGCAATCAATTAAGTAACAGAATAAACAGAGTTTGAACAATGAAGGACATCGTCGGCATTTGTACCGGGAAGACTCTGAGCTCTGATTTTGGGGACAATCGGGGCCGTGGCATTGCGTTTGTGTCTAAGGGCGAGGCAAGGAAATTCATAACTATGGAAACTGGGAGCAATCGATCTGTAATCTTGAAAAGGGACTTCGAATTTTTTGAGATGAAAGTTTGAAGGACTAATAAGGAGGGATCTTGCCAAGATAGAGGTCATTATTTCCCAGAAACAGGAGATGAGCAGAACCGCGAACTGAACGCTACTCGTGTTTCGACCAGGAAGGGCAGAAACCGATGACTCAAGCGAAACAAAAGCCCAGTACCATACTGTTCATGGCGATGATGTTGAGGGGGATCGAGAACGGAAATCCTAATATGGCGCTGCGAAGGAGGATCTGAGAAAGTATTGACACGCGTACAATTTCATGCAGGGACAATTCAAGCAACACGGATTAAGAGTATGATCAAGTTTTACGACTGAGGATCAGACGTCGCGGGGATAGCTCAGTTGGGAGAGCGTCAGACTGAAGATCTGAAGGTCGCGTGTTCGATCCACGCTCACCGCAATCTCAGTAATAAATTTTCCATAATTAATTTTTATATGCTCATCATTTATTTAAATATACTCGCAAGTATATTACTTTAAGACCTATTTAACTAATTTGATTAGATTAAAAAAGTTAGATAAGTTAGTTAATTATAAGAAATATGACATGTTTTTTTTAAATATTATACTATCTTTCTTAATATACTCTCTTCCTTACTTATTTGATTATGGTTGAGATAGTATCCATGAAATAATTTTAAAAAAATTAATGAATATAATAAATTAGTCTTATATTTAAGATTAAAATTAATTTAATAATTAAGACTTGTATTAAGGACCAGAGGAATATTAAGTGCCTGTTTGGCATTAATTATTTTGGGCTTATAAGTAGCTTACAAGCACTACAAGCCCGATTGACACAATGATGCTGTTTGGATGAGCTTTTCTGCAATCTGGTTTTGTATGAAAAGCTCCAATAAATTATAAACTAAAATTAATAGCTTATGACTTATAGTTTTTAAAATATGGGGAGAGAGAGAGAAAGTGAAGAAATTTATTACCTCCTTTAATTCTTATTATAAGCTTCAAATAACTAATTTGTAGATAACAAAAAATCAATTAAAATTAGTTGAAAGTAATAAATAAGTTAGAAATATACTTTTATTTTTAAATATGCTCATAGAAATATACTTTTATTTTTTTATGTTTCACTTTATATTTAAAATATCTTGTATGATTTATCTAAAGCTTTAAAATTTAATTCACTCATTAAATTTGAATTTTTCATATTAAATTATTTTAATTTCATTGAATTATGTGAAAATATTTTTTTTAGTCATGTTTCATTATTTATTAAAACTCATATCTATTTTGGTTATTTTACAACCAAACTTACTTTTACTCAATCATAATCCAAACAACTTTTTACCAATCTTACTTTTACAAACTAATTTTTCTAAACTCTAATCCAAATATAATTCAACTTATCCAATTAACTTTTATCCAACTTCATTTTTCTAAAAACTATTTTTTTAATAAGTTATTTTTTTAATCGCTGATTTAAACGGACCCTAAATTGCTGGTGTGCGGCGTGCTTGGCAACTCATGCATCTTGTACCATGTTCAACCATTTCAGTACTTTTTCCGGCTTGCAGATTATGAAAAATACAGCATGCTTTTAAAAAGGAAGCACCATCGATGATTTGGGCGTTGTGATGTCATTACTCCCCGCTTTTTCTCACTCTTGTCAACTTTTATTGCTCATTCCTCCTTTAAATCCTTGACAATTCGCCATGGGAAAACTGCCGTTGACGACTTCATCATGTTTATGAGGACCTCAGATTTGCATAATTGCTAGAGTACCGTATCAAAATCGATTTGAATTATGAAATGACCAAAATGCTCGTTATATTTAAAAGGGTAAAAACGAATCGAAGCTCGCTATAGAAAAGACTTTACAGGCGGTGATGCATTATTAGGGAAAAAAAATCTGATGTGATTTACGGGTTATTTTACATTGTGTACAAAAGGGCCTGCACGATGTTAAAATATCAGATCTTAAAAAAAAATTGTAAAAAAGATTACTGAAATGGAAAAATTGTAAATCACATTAATATGAGTTTTAATAATAATAATATGGGTTTTGACAACGATTTTTGTAAACAGATTCTTGTATGTAATTTTTCAATTTCAGCAGTTTTTTTTATAATTTTCTCAACAAAAAAAAAAACTCACAAACAATCGTAATTTATAACAGGCACTGATTAATGCTTACGTTACAGCTAGTCTTCCATAATTTACACAAAATTAAAATTAAAAAAAATAGAAGATACAGGGGATAACTATAATTCATAAAAAGTTTTGCTTGCTTTACAATTAACTTTTTGTTATAGTGTGTCCACTGCGACGGTTCCCCAATGACTAATCATCTGGGTACTGCAGAGGTCCAAGAAGGGAGTGACCCTTCCGGGCATGCTTGCTCCATTCCCATCCTTTAGCAGAATTTTTTTTTTTCCCTAAAGCATAGGTATCCTCTTATTAGAGGCAATCCTATTTGAGGTATTGTCGGGCACTAAATGTGAGCACCTCTCCCAGCAGAGATTCGAACCTTGGTTCACCACGTTGTGGGAAACTAACCCCTTCTGCTAGACCTAACTCCCGTTGGTTCCAGTGGAATTGAACCCAAGAGCGATAGTTAAGGAACACAAACCTCGTCCACGTGTGCCTGCGTGCGCTGGTTTGCTTTACAATTAAGTTTTGTTCATACGCAAGAAGTCTTGTCCATAACTGCTGCATATTGTGGTCCTCCCATTAATTGTGTCTTGTCCCCTCGTGGGCTTTAATCATGCCCCGAATCGAATATTCGAATTCCATGGGCAGGCTAACATTCATGACATCGTCGTGGCATTTCTCGTCCGCGGCTTCGGTGTTCTGCCCATACCCCGCTCTGTCCAGTCACTGGGCTAAATTTGAGTTCAATAAGCCCATCAGTCCTGAAATTACACGGTACTCTTCTGGTTCTATTTATAGAGTAGGAAGAGAAGATAATTTTTTATCCTATTTATAGGATACTAAGAAAATTTTTTTATATAGATGTACAATTTTATTCCTAACTTATTATTGTGTTGATTTTGTTTACATGAAATATAATATATACTCCTCCGGTCCTTATTATAAGACCCAATTTGACTTTTTATTTGGTCCTAATTATAAGACCCAATTCATTTTCTCTCTTATATTTATGCATTTTTGTCCAAGATACTCCTTCTAATAATGATAGTTTTAGCCAATATACTTAATTAGCAAGGATATTTTAGGAATAACAACACTTATTTATTATAAATAACCAACTTAACTTACTTCCTTAATCTCCTCAAATAAGTCAATTGGGTCTTATAATTAGGACCGGAGGAGTATTAAATAGGAATAAAGTTGGAAAGTTACTAAATTTTAAATGAGAGTTAATGAAGTTTAAGGTTTTTTTTGTCTGTCTGAAATATGCTGGAAGTGCCTTATAAATAGAACCAGATAAGTAATTAAACAGAGATAATTATGATGATTTATGGATTTTCCCTCAAATTAACAAGAAAATATCAACATTCACGTCTAATTAATTAATCATTTCAGATAGAATAAACTAGGCGGATTAGGAGGTGTTATGTTAATTTTACAAAAAAAACACTGCGTTAAGAAGCAAAAGTGATAGGATGGGGGCATTAACTTGCTTATTGATTAAGCATTCCTTAGTCGCGACAAACCAGGGGATTAGGCGTGTAAGCTTTTGTTGGGTGGAGCAGGTGATCTCAAATTAAATGGAATATCCTGTTCATCAGCGCAGCGTAGCCCCAATCAAAATCTGGATTCCATCGCTAATTACACTGTGGCGTGGTTGTTAGAAGTTAGGTTTAACCAGTCTCCAAAATTAACGAGCAACCTCACACGGATCTCAGATCCATATCAAGGCTCAAGCACGTATTTACATTCATTGCCACCACCCAACCTCCGCCTCCCTCATCCTTGGTATGAAAATTAATCGGCTAATTTGAATAGATTTAAAAAGTTTGTTAAGTTAGTTATTTGTAATCAACATATGTTATTTTATCCAGAATATCTTATTAATCATGTGCAATACTGCAATGGCTAGCTATTTTTAAAAAAATAGATAAATACAAGAAACAAAATAAATTGAGTTCTTATATTTATGACTATATATATATCAAACTAACTCTTATGTTAAGAATTGAAATTAGCATTATATTAGCCCACCATAGTATTGATTGACACGTGGCCATTTGTTTTCCAAATTGAAATTATATGCCCCCTGTTGATGACCTACGCCAATGCCAACGAATGAATGGCACCAACACTGTAAATTAAAAACATCACTGGCTGAGTCCATATAGAGTAAATTAGACGTGAATAGTGACTCAGTGTGCATATTTCTTGTTACTGTACGCCTTCTCTCTCTAAAATATAAACTGAGTATTAAAAGAAGTGCTTTATTCATCGACTCTCAAAAGTATACATATATATATATATATATATATATATTTATATGTATATATGTGCGTGCGCATGTTGTTGATCATAAATGCCGGCCTTTTGTTCAAAGAGAAGGAATAAATGAATAACACGGATAATGAAGTATTCTAAAATGAAGAACCTGAGAATGAGAAGAGAGAAATAGCAAACAAAATGAAAGAGGAAGGGAACGAAGAGAGCAAGGGTTGCGGTAAAAAGAGAAGACAGAGCAGAGGCGTGAGTTATTACATTGAGAAAGTTCACACACGAGTGGAGACAGATGTGACATCAAACATAAGGACAAAACACACGGATGACAACAGAGCAGTGGAGACAGGGAGGGGTAAGGAAACTAGAGAGAAAGGGCCAAGTCTAGATCAGGCGGAGGAGGGGCCGTGTTGTCGTTGAAGGCGACGGCGCCATGATCCCCGGCGAAATCTTGGAGTTGAAACCTGGGTTCCCACCCTCCCTTCATCGTCTTGTCCCTGTGCTTCTCTGCAGTGGCTGCCCACCCCGCACGGCCCTTGAGGCTCTTTCCAAGGTTGTGGATGAGATCAAAGAACTTCTCCATCTTTGATTCATCGTCGGCATCATCATCTTCTACTGGCGGGTTGTGGTCGCGCTTCTTTCTCTTTCTGCAGCTTCCTCCTCCGTTAGGCTCATCCATCCAGAGACCAGCGACCTGCTGCTTAATTTGCTCTGATTAAAGCTGAAGCTCGTGTCCTGAACGCTCCTTCATGGCATCTTAAAAAAAAAGGTGACGAAGGCACGAGACAGCGATGCAGAGCGGCAGAATATTGCGTCAAATTCTTCCTCCCTTCGACATCACAAAGATGCCCCACACCCTCTTTGGTAAATGACCATCGCATCCTCATCCCAGTGCTTTTTGGGAGCACATTTGATTGGCGGTGGGTAAGGGAGGGCCCGCGGAATTTTAGTCTACGTCATTACACGTGGTCACCCTGACCTCCCCATGACGACAGCGCTCAACCCGCCCACTCCTTTTGGGAATTAAAGGAAGTATTAACTCTTAAAACACAGTTGTAAAAGTTATTTGAAATGCTAAGATTAGGACTGCAATTAATTAACCAAAAGGATAAGAGGAAAACATGATGCTAGCTTGTGTGGAAATAAAGGGGTTGTTAGGAAATAGTGAAGAGCGGATGATACGTGGAGGTGAATGAAAGATACAAGTGGGAGCGCCACACTTAGCATGTCCCACAAAGAAACATACGCGCGCACTCCACCTCAAAACAAGCACGACAACTAGCCCGGGGTCTCCCTCGTGAGCCACGCATCCTCCTCCTTTGCAACCGCTAGTCCAATTTCATTTTTAATTTTAATTTTTATTTTTAAATAAGAATGACTAAAATCAATCTGGCAGTCTCTTTCTACCGCTGAGTTGTATTGTACAAGATTTTTTTAGTATTCAAAACGTAAGTCATCACGTAAGAAACATGTAGGCAGCATTACATATTTTTCCACAAGCGATGTGCATGCATATGAGGACGGAGAGTCGTTTTCGAATTTTATTTGTTTATTCGGTAATTAGATACTGTTGGGAAACAAAAACGTAGAATATTAATATCACGTGCAGTTTTTGCCAGAGCCTTTAATGAACAAAACTGTGATAATGTGATGCGCGCCGAGGACTTCTCTGCGATTAGGATATGACGAATTACGCCGTATCGGTTGTTAATTGCCAGCAGAGGCCGACAAACGTGAAACGAAAGCGCATACATTACAGTGAATCGTAACGTGATCACTGTCATTAATAGGATCGGAGCAGCACTTAGAAAGCCGCGGCTTCCTTTTCTGGCCTGCTTATTTTGACTGTGCCACATAGCGTGATTCCCATCCGAACTAAACTAAATCCACGCTCTTAATCGATTATCAAATCCAACGTATTATTACTTTCAATTTTTAATATAAGAGCTAATTTAATTCTTAATTTCATTTTAAATAATATAAGATTATAATTTACTTTGTCTCTTGTATTTATTTATTTTTTTAAAATAATTCTTGATTGCTAATAATATTTTAAGAAATACAATACATATTTATTAAATAAATAACTAAGTTAACTAATTTTCTTAATCTACTCAAATTAAGTAACTAGCTCTTCTATTAACGAGTGAACATAGTAATTATCAGCCATGCGTTCCCTGGTAGATATGCGAGGATACCATACAAAACCCCACGCGTGTAAGCTGTAATCCGTCAATGGCCAATCGAGTTGCATCTCAACCACAAAAGCTTATTAAAATTTCAGGGTCAAGCTTGCTATATGCGTTCCCAATCATTCAAACAATTTCCAATTCCGCTGTTTATTAATTATTACCATGTGGTCATCCTTTTTCCCTCGTGTGTGAATTTTCACTACGAATTTTATATCACGCAGGATATATATATATAACTTAAAACGATGTGGATTCAGAAGGGAAACTGACGCCGTAAGAATTGTTAAATGTTGTGGTTAAATGAACGCATCTGGATTGGCAACAACCCCCCTCTCTTTTTCCCTAGCAAATTAAAGATTTATAACAACGTGATGATTGAGAACGATTAATCCTTAAAACTAGGCGAACAAAAGGAAATTTAGAATTCTACAAAAGAGATTATTGCTCTTGGGGTACGGGTCGTGGAATGAATGATGAGGGGGCAGAAAAATAATTATAATGGCAAGAAGGACGATAATTCCGTGAGGTTCCAGCATGTGGGGGTTGGGTACAGTGACAAAGCTGTGGCGTCCATACTATTCAACAGCGACGTGTCTTCGTTACGTACATTACCATAATCCAATTCGCAGGTTCGTCACTTCTTTCGTTTCCAGTTAATTTATTAGTACTGTCTCTTATCCTAATTATAAAATGTCACCTGTAGTTCTTATAAATAAGAACGGAGGTTGTGTTTCTTAACGTGCCTTCATTAAGCAAGGAGATTTTACGTGGTAAGGCTCTTCCTCCTGCGAGAATCTTGCATTGGTAGAGAGGTGGAAAGAAAAAGAAAAGCATAGACTCTCAGAAAAGGCGAGGAAGCCACTCCAACAGCCGGCATCCGCATCACAGAAATCAAGGCATTGACTCTGCCTTTTTTTATGGGAAAATCCCAAAAAAGGTCCTTGAAATATGGGAAATGTCAGATTGAGCCCTTAAATTTTAAAAATGACAGAATGGGTCATTGACCCAATCTGTCATTTGTTAAATTCAGACGAATTGACAATTTTGCCCTCATTTATTCATTCACTACAATGATTCAAGGAATCACTATAAGAGTTTAGGTGTTACCTAGATTCGTATAACGAATAACTATTCACTTTTTCATAGTCAGATGTCTTGTTATTAACTACAACTAATGTTGTAATCACTAGAACAATGTAAGCATTACCTAGATTTGTGTAAAGAATAACTACTCATTTTTTCATAGTCAGGTATCTTATTATTGTCAGGTACCTTATTATTAACTACAACGAATCTTGTAATCACTAGAACAGTATAAGCGTTACCTAGATTTGTTTAGAGAATAACTACTCACTTTTGCTCAGGGGTAAAAATGTCAATTCGCCTGAATTTCACAAATGACAGATTGGGTCAATGACCCATTCTGTCATTTTCGAAATTTAAGGGCCCAATCTGGGATTTGGTATATTCCAATGGCTTTTTCTGGGATTTTCCCTTTTTTATCCCATTTATAAAATTATACTGCATAAAAATATGTGTAAATTTTACATTCTTAAAATAAAGTATATACTCCTCTAATTCTTAATATAAGACCCATTTAATTAATTTGATTAGATTAAAAAGTTAGGTAAATTAGTTAATTATAAGAAAAGTGACACATTTTTCTTAAAATACCATAATCATCTTTCTTAATACCCCCTCTCTTTTCTACTTGATTATGGTTGAGAAAGTATCTATAAGGGTAATTTAGAGAAAATTGATAAATATGAGAAATGAGTCTTGTATTTAGAACCAAGACTAACTCAAGAATTGGATACTATATTAAGAATCAGAGGAGTATTAAATAAAAATAAATTTATTAAATTTTAAGACAATTAATAAGATTTAATATTTTTATTGACTCCCATAAAACATATTAAAAATAATTTATAAATAAGACTAAATAAACATTATACTTACTAAAATATTTTTAATTCTTTTTAATTATAAAATTATCGTCACACAGTTTCAAACTCTCAATTATTATTATTTTGCGCCATCACGTCGGTCATTATTTTAGCTACGCACCATCCTTCACTGTACTGCCGTAATTAGTACTCCCGTCCTTTTTATAAGATTTAAATAATCAAATTGCATGATTTAGGCAATATGTTATAATTAATTAAAAGTAATAAGTACGTGAAAAAAATATAATTTTGTCTAAATATATTTGTATTTACAAGAGGATAAGTGAAAGACAGAAATAATGAGAAAAAACATAAAAAGAATATGTCAAAAAATAATGTAATTAATTGTAGGGTAAAAATGATAAAAATGCTCTCTTTTTTTATAGCAGTAATTAGTACTCCCGTCCTTTTTATAAGGTTACAATAATTGAGTTGCATGATTTAAGTAATATGGTATAATTAATTAAAGGAAAAATTGTCAAAAAAAGATATTAAAAATTAAAAAATTACATATAGGGACCCGTTCACAAAAATTATTGTCATTTACTCATCAATTATTATCAAAATCAATATTAATATTGTAAAGAGTCCCAATTTGTAATTTTTCTATTTTCAAGATCTTTTTTTACAATGTTTTTCTTAATTAAAAATAATAAATATGTAAAAAATATTTTTGTCTAGATATATTTGTATCTACAAGAGGCTAAGTGAAACACAGAGATAATGAGGAACAAAACATAAAAAGAATATGTAAAAAAAAATAATGTAATCAATTATAGGTAAAACTGATAAAAATGTATTTAATGTTTAAATAATTTCAAACTAAATCTTACAATAAGAAGCGAAGTAATTTAAAAATTTGAATGATGTGAAAGGTAGAGGAGTAGTAGAACTTGTTAAGAGCAAGACGGGAGGCGAAATTGAAATTTTAAACCCTCAATCCTTGGAAGAGGAGGCCTCCATAACCAAAATCCAGGAACCAAATTCCCAAGCCGAACTCCGGGATATAGGATTATATAAGAGAAGTTGTTCGACCTGATACTCTGTGCGTGGGTATATATGTGAAGATCAAATGGTGGGGCAGAAATTGTGGCTGGAACTGAAAAGCCACACAGGCAAACACTAAAATGAAAGCCATGAATTAAGGATTAACGAGCTACAAGATGCAGCATACAGAAAACAAGCTAGTTGGTAGCTGCATCTGCGTGTGGACATACAAGCAAACACAACGAAGAGGGTATGCAGAAGTCGGACTGAACTTAATTGGAACTGCTGGTCAAAAAAAAAAAAAAAGAACATAATTAGAACTAACTTCAAAGCGAGAGGCTGAGATTCATGCCCTTTTCTGCTTCCCTCTCCTCATCCGCTACTTTCTTCTTATCAGGAGAAGCATGATCTGGTAGAGAGGAGTTCAGAGGAGCATGCTTTTGGCTCCGATCCTGATGAGGATCTACTTCCATGAAATCTTCAATCTGAAACTGCGGCTTCCAAACTCCCACTCTATTCTGTGCCTTGCCGCTCCCATTTTCTGTCTCCCCGTACGCATCTGACCCAAACTTGATCAGCCGTTCGCGGCTCTCTCGAATGCTTCTGACCAGAGCGAAGAATTTCTCCATTTTGATTTCATCATCTTCTTCTTCGTCATCCTCCCCGCAGCAAATCTTCCTCTTCTTGCTGTCGCTCGTGCCCTCCATGCTCACGGGTTTTGATTTAAAGGAAGAAGGAATGTATGGGAAGGAGTAATAGATGAATTTTCCGAGAAAAAAGAGAGAAGGAGCGGTAATGGCATGCAGTTTCCGGGTTGCTTCCCTGGCTATAAGGACATTCATTCCTGCCAAAAGGAATCTAGAAGATCAATATGCCAAGGAGTATGACGAGTTATTATTGTGACGTATATATTCCAAGTCAAGCCAAAAACATTCTATATACATGTTAATTATATTATACGGGCAAATAATTGTGCTTTACAAAAATAATGGTGTTAAATAGCTCGCGAATGAAGTTGAACAACAATCAAATAGCCCTGCCTTTCTGTGTATTCCATGCGTTGGTTCTCTTCTTTTTTTAAAAAAAAAAACGTAATGCGTTGTCGCTTCCCAGTAAAAAACTCCAAAAGGCAAAAAGAAAGCACACGAGATTTCGGTGATACGATGTTCCATTTATTTTGTTTTTCATATTTATTTATTTTTTTTAAAATGGTTATTGTAATAATTATATATGTTAAATATTTTATTAAATAATAATTGTTCTTAATACATATTATTAATAAGAATCTGATTCTTATATTAAAAAGCGGATCAAGTACATAATCATACATGTGTTTGGGGGTTCTTTGGTAAAAAGCAAGAACGAAGGGGTTAGTCTGGTTTAAAGCAGATCGAATTTCCCTCATTGGATGAGGCCCAGGGCTGACGTCGCTTCCGTTACGTCACTAACCACCATTCGGACAAACAATCTTTCTAAATAATTTCTCACATAAGTGAAGACCTGCCACGTCAACGCGCTTTCGAGTCAACAGAAATACAATTTTTTGTAAGGGAAACAAATCAGAGCATTAAAAAAAAATCCTTATCTAATTGGAATGTTACGTTCTAATCCACTGTAGAGCCGTTAATCCAATTAAAAATGGTTACCGTAGTTACCGCATTTTATACGCATTAAAAAGGGTGTCAATAATCAATAACGCAGTAGCTCTGCCTCGTAAACCGTTCATTTTTATTTTTAATAGACGAGACTGTGTCGGAATGAACTATATATATATTTATATATAGTGGTCACAAGACATCATAAATATCACATCGTATATGCATGAATTTATTGCCCTGATCTTTCTCTTGAAATTTTGGTAATTTTATTATCTTTTCAGTTTGTCATACTCCTAATAATTTTGAAAACTATTCTATAATGTAATTGGCTAGATTTTATTTAGAACAGAGTTGGTGCCGCATTTTGGCAAAAATCCTTCAGGTGTTTAGATTTATGAATTTTGTCCATCCCGAATTTGTTTAGTCGTGGGGCCTTTTTTCTTCTTCTTCTTTTTTTTCATTTTCACCATGCATTTCATTCCTAACATGTCATCCGGTCCTAAATATATATAGGACCGGCTTTATAATGTAAATTAGATTACAAATTGTGTCTTATATTTAGAATTGAAGGATTATTAATTAAGGTTGTCATTTGAGTAAGTTGATCCGGATTTAATTCTTATAGCATATGTTATGCCAAAAAAATTCCTCCAGTATATGAAGCATGCTTACTTGGAAAGATTTCACTTTATTTTTGCTATAAGAAGAAGAGTTTAAAATTTCATATTACCTAAAGTTCAAATTCTGGATAAAATGTTAAATATTTTAGGGAGTCTAAAAAAAATATTTTTAAATTTTTAAATTCTAAATTAGTACTCTCTCCGTTCTTTATTATAAGAGACATTTGATGCTTATAGCATGTTCCCATATATAAGAGACACTTAAAAGTTGGCTCTATTTTTTTGTATTGATTTCCTATTTTATCCCTATTTATTTTGTCTCCAACTCATACTCTCTCTCCCTCTCACTTCTCTTTCTTTTAATAATTTAATTGTTCTCTCTCATACTCTCTCCTTATTAATGAGGGCATTGTTGGAAAAAATATTATACTTTTTATACATTAATTGTCCTCAACTAATTTTAACTGTTTTTTTTATCAACGTAATTTGGTTATCTGTCTCTTATAATAAGGAACGGAGGGAGTATTGTTTAGTGTTTACTATATTTTAATAATAACTGACAACATTTAAAAATTAAATCACAACACATTTTTGTTGCTATTTCTGAGTTAAAATTTTGAAATTTTAAAAGTATTTTTTGGGATTTTGTAATATTATATGTATGGGAAGCAAGGAAAAATTAATTTAATCCCTTTGGCGGAGGAAAAGAGAAGGAAGGACAGGGAAAAAGATAAAATAGAATAATAATGAAGAAGAAGGAAAGCAAGGGATGGTGGGATGAATATGATCAGCCACCTTAGGAGGAGTGTAGGTAAGCAGTCCGGTCCCTATGAAAGCAGGTTGGAATTCGTAGGCCCATGAAATACGTTGTCCCCCACTCCGCTGATATTGTCAACTCATTTAAGTATCACATTTTAAACACACCTTTGGTAAGTAAACGAAATATTGTGGGTAACATGAGAAGAATAAAGAAGATTAAAGGGTAATTTTATCCTGAAGTGTGAACAAATTAAAAGCTTCCTCATTTGCTCTCATTTCTTGGAGTTGCTGTCTCTCTTGCTACACACCCCTATCTTTAGAGATAAAGAGGGGCGTGAACTTTTTGTACGTCGTATGCCTACTTTTTTTGAAACATTTCCGGTTGTTTTGGTAGACGGAGACGGAATTGTTAGAGCCGATGTTCCTTTTCGAAGGGCGGAATCGAAATATAGTGTCGAACAAGTAGGTGTAACTGTTGAGTTCCCTGCATTAGAAACCCAAAAGGTCAAGGTCATTACTCCTCTATTCTGGAATGATTAAAGCCAAAGCTAAACTGAGAAAGCCCACGTCCACAGTCCCCTCCTACGCTAGACGCTAAGAGAGAGAGAAAAAAGGAATAATAATTTAGCAGGAGTGAAGAATGAGAGGGCTTTTCCTTTTGCCCTCTCTTGAGGATAACTTGAGGCGGAAGCCTTCCATTGCCCACCTTTAAGCTGAGCTGTCCCCTTTAATGATTCAGCAGTTGAAAGTCTGGTAGTGCCACAACCCTCATCTCTTCTTTTGTGAACCTCCAAATAAAGCCATTGCCGACCTGCCTGGCTACCTACCTTTGCAACATCATTCTCAATCTTTCACTTTGCCTCCATTTCCTCTTCTTTAGAACAGAACACAGACATTTTGCAGATTAGCTGTTCTGTGAGATCCATTCATTATAATCCTTGATTGCACACTGTAGTCTGGTCGTCATAATAATAATGACAAATTGAAAAGGTGGGAAAATACTTGTGTTTGGCTATCTCAAATCCTAAACCCTGCCCCTTCTCTCTTTAACCCTTTTTCTTTTATTTTGGGTTTCCTTGGTGAACGCATGTCTGGTTTCTACCTACCTTCTTTGCGCATGAAGAATGTGGCCCATCATTTTGCGCGTGCAATGAAAAATCCAATTTGCCCCTCCGTGCTTCTTCATTTCGAGTATCTTGACGTTAAAATAAGAAAGGAGAAGTGAAAAAGAAGACTAAATAAAATAGTACTAGCATATCTTCTATGACTTCTCTCCATTTTTGTCTCCCTCTATTCAATTTAAAAATATCTTACGCAGCGACCGAAAGTCTCACCAGTCACCACTTTTCATTAGTGGCACGCGTAGAATTTATCTTCTTATGAAGCTTACTGATTAGTTTGTAATAACTATTGTCCTCTTTTCTAACTTCGATTTTCTTATTCTGCATTAACATATCTATTCGTTTTCCAATCTGATCACAATGTTATCATGCATGCCAATGGATTCTGCAAGCTTGCAGCTCCTCGGCTTGAGTAGACAAATAGTTCATCCGAGCCAAACCCACAATCCTCTCGTCATCATGGGAAACAGAAGTTTTGTTATTCTGTCAGACATCAAGTCCACCGAAAGAACCACTGTCTGTGCAAGAAACAGTCTTACGTTGTTGAAGCACCCAAGCATAACATTCATTTATAAACTAGCGAAACAAAGAAGCTCTGAAGGGGTGAACAAGTCCAAACTTCCATTCCAAACCTGATTAATTGCAAGATACAGTTTAGCAAATAGTTGGGGGAGGAGCATCTAAAACTCAACTCCTAACATTCATTCGCCTGTAACTTATACAAGGACACACAACACTTTCACAATTATAGAAACGGGTATAAGATTGGATCAGCAACGATCCAAGTCATTGTGTAAAAAGGAACGAGGAAGCCTATCACGCAAGCAAGTGACGGGTGGGATTGTGGGGGTCTGCAAATCTCCATAAGCATTCCAACAGAAAGGATCAAGCACGGCGTCTCGTTGAGCAGGATGAAGCTCTATGTCTGAGAGGGCTAGGTGGGTGCAGGGGACTGAGTCACTACAGGCAAAACGCATAGGTGGGCTCCTAACATCGTAGCTTCCCTTGATGTTGGTGTACACTATATCTGATACAAACACTGCTGAACTCTTGTTGGTGCAATCCTGAGTGACGCAGTAGAACTGATCTATTATGATGGGGTTCTTCACACTCTCCATCTCAATGTTACTGAATGACACTTTGAATACTGATCCCGATCCGCCTTGCCACGTCTTTATTCTAACCCCATTATCTGACTCTTTGATCACCGATTCCCTCACCTTGATGTTCCTAACACAGGCTCGAGTGTTGCGTTTCCCCAAACTTCCAATGCTGAATTCAGCAACAACGTAACAAAATTAGCTCACAGGACATGTACGTTTGGGACTGGAACTTTTATGAAAAGTACCTTATTCCATGACCAGGTCCACATGAGATATTCTTGATATCCACATCATAACAACCAGTTCCAATGGACACACAGTCGTCGCCTGAAAAAAATCAATATATTACGGGACAAGTGTAAGAGAATTAGAGCGAGGTTATGTTTTCCGGTGTAGTTTTGTGACTGACCATTAGAAATCACAGAATTGTATATTCTAACGTCCTTGGTATTTTCGATGTGAATTCCGTCTGTATTGGGACTTAGTGCCGGGGATGTTATGTGGATTGATTCAACGTGGACGTTTGTGCAGCCATCAAATCTGAAATGAAACTGGGGGCTGTTCTGGATCCTCACTCCTTTCACAGTCAAATTTGAGCTCATAAAGAACCTTATGGCCTGAACCATAGACATGCCGAGCATCATGTCCTTTATCAAGTTATAATGCAATGACAGAAAAAACAAAATGGAGAAGAATGTGTCCACAACTTACAACTGGGCTATCACAACGCCCTGGCAATGTTGTCCCCTGAGGTCCCTGTACCGTTCAAGGTGGGTTCAACAACTGTTTGATGCGCACCAGTTTTTAAAACTTTCGATATTAAATTTCAAATTATCAATACCTTGTGAGGCTTACAGGGAAGGTCCCACCATTTTTCTCCTCTCCCATCTATTAAGCCTCCTCCTTCAAGCGACATGGGGTTGATTCTGTAAAATACAAGCCATTGGCGCCGAGTGATGTTCCCAGGCCAAGATTCAGGTCCATCAGGTGGCATGATAGTCCCATCAACCTAGCAGAAGTCCATCACTCAGCTTTACTTAACTACCCCTTAACGCATACAAGAACCGAATAGAACAAAGTAAGATTACCTTTACAACCAAGCGACCTCGGCAAGGGCCTGTGAAGATGGTAGACTGGACGATGAAGGAAAAACCAGAGGGAACATGTATTACATTCACTGCCGATTCACTTTGGCAGGCTGTGTCCCACGCCATCTTGAATGCCTCTGTATCATCTGTTATTCCATCCCCAATGCCCCCAAATATTCGTACATCAAAGTAACTGGTGGCATTATGGTTATTCTGTTTCCCGGGTTGAGGTGATTTATGAGAATGATGTCTAGCTTGGGTGCAACAAAATGAGCTCAAAATTATACATAATGCCAGTAGTGAAATATGGGAATTCTCCGTTTTAAGCATTTTCCAGGTCTAGAGACTTTAAAACCAGACCAAAATTGAAAAAAGGAAGGGAGAATTCTATTAGTGTCAACAACAAAAGGAGAAGGCTCTCAAATTAACGAACAAGCTATGGCACCCTGAGTTGCAGGAAGTAAAAGTAATTGACCTAAATGCCCACTATGAGCACTTTAAGTAGTAGAATACAGGTTGAACGGAGTCTGGAGGCCTTGAAGTGCATGCAGCTGCAAAAAAGCTGGTTCACAATACATGATAACAAGTCATAGTGGAAGCTCAGCACGGTACCTGATATTCAATGGTTTTACTGTGGAAAGCGACAAATACATTATAGGCGTTGGCATTTCTTTATACAAAGTGGACTCTCCATACACATGAATGTATATATGACTGTTCTGAAAAGCAGCAAAACGGAATAACGAGAAATCAGAGGAGTGGGCAGTCCTTAATCCTCCCATCTTCTTCCCATAACTGTCATTTTCTATTGGTCTGGCTATGCCATTCCCATAACATAGCCCTATCTGTATCAAAACTCTGCCTAGTATGAAGGATTAATTTAATGGACGCTTAATTAATTAGACTTTAACTGCTTTACAGAAAGTATAAAAGGTTAGCGAAGATTCCCATGTGCTCTGGTCTCCCATGACGGTGTCTTCACACCGATGATTACGGGAAATCAATCACAAATGATTAGCCTCACTTTGAGTATTGACATTTGCTTTTGACTCCAAAGTACTAACCTCAATTTCTTGCGTGTAAGATTTATATGAATGAATGAATGGACCTTTGTAAATTACTAGTATCTGAGTAAGACCTTCTTTCTTACCGGTTAATATATGTAATACACATTATATACGAAAACAATTTGAAATTCGTTACTTAGGTTTTGTGTGGATTACTATTAGGGGGGGGAAAAAAAACATATGCTCGAATGCTCGCAACTGTCGGTCCACTAGAGTGACGCAGGGCTAGTGGTGGAAGAAATAATACAGCGGCAACCACAAAGTGAAGATTACAGTAGATTAATAAAAGAGATAAACGAGATGAGGGGAAGAGAATGGCAGGTCACATTAAAGGCAATATATAGAGAGGCAAACCTTTGTGCTGACAGGATGGCGCATCATGGCCTCAAGCAGAATCAACGAAGAAGACTACGGAGCACACCTCCACCGGAGATGCAGGAACACTTGCAACGAGACTTACTTGGCATTGGAACCCCAAGAAGAGTCCGCATAGAGTAGATCGCGTTTGCGTGGTGTTTTATTTCAACCCAAAAAAAAAAAAAACACTGTCGGTCCACTGCGAAGCTAATAGTTTCTGAAATCGTAGCTTACTTTCGCGGCTCAAACAGCGATGCCATTACTTCTGGCGATGCTTTTTGACTCCATTCAGTCTCTGGGAGCCAATAGTGGTGGCTTAGTATTATCCAACTCATTCTGTCTCAGACAGTTCCATAGCGCTAGCTTTCTAGCCTTTATTTTCAGTGCAAGAATCAGCTTAGGTTCTGTGATTGATTCCTACCACTTTGTTTACACTTATCTCCCATTTGCGTAAATTCCAGTTTCTTTTTTCTTTTCTTCCCCTAAACACTAATCCCAAATACTGCTCCATCCCATTCCATCAATGACCATTTGGGCTATCCGCATGTGGCTTTGTATTATTCTTATTTTGTTTTGTGAATACACAAAAAACCCGGTTGTGTGCTTAATATGATTGTGCAATTGATGTTATAGCGAGCGTCAGTTTCGTTATTGCCATTGGGAGCTGCGAAATTAGAGGAAAGGAGGATGGACAGGACGAAACATCTTTCGGCGCAAAATCAGCAGACGATGTTTAAAGTAGAGGTGATTATGATTTCAGTTTCTTTACATTACAGGTGATTAATACCCGTCTTTTCAAGAACATCAATTAAGGAAACTTTTATAATGTTATGTCTAAATTTTTCACAAATTTTGTTGGCTTTGTATCATCGCGTCCAAGCTCTGTATTTTTCCCGAAGTCCTGTTGGGTATTGTATTTTTAATCACCAACTCACTCCTTAAAGAAAACAAAACATGCTTCCCATAGTCTCGCATGGAATGAAGAACAAATTTCACGACTTACAGTGCAATTTTTGCGAATTTTTATATTACGATATTAATATCAACATCAAAAGCAGGAGTTTTCAAACTCTTCCACGCAAGTGCACATCTCCAGCTGTATGCCGGGCAGCATATCTAAGCTGCTTCATTCCGCCAACTTTGCTAATCTTATCTCTCATGTAATTGTTTTGTTTGTATTATCACACGTTACCAGTTTTGCAGTGTATTGAAAAAGAGGCTTAGATTCCTTATCTTGGAGCAGAGCGAAGTCACAAATAAAATTTATTTAGGCAGGACTTGTCCATTGCTTAGGGTTTGAGAAATACACGTCATAGATTTTTTACTCTACACACACACACAAACATTAAGATGAATTAAATAAGTCATATCCAAACGAACCCTACCAGCTCCTTCCAGCAACTACCAACCGCCCACCGCCGTCGTTGTGGACGCGGCCAAGTTTTATAACGGGGAAAGTTAGAAACCAGAAATGACAATTGCCTTGAAAGCAAGAATATCGTATCGTACGCTGCAAAACTTGCCATCAACAAGGGAAAATAATCGACGAAGAAGCTTTAGAATAGCTACCATCTACATTACAATGCCATGTCGATAGTGGTCAATTATATTCAAATAAATAACTTCTCTAGTTAATACAACCTGTTGAACCTTGAGGGCTAGCAAAACCCATCAAATTCTATAAACAACTCGTAACTGTGAAGCTTCTAAAGCAGCTTTGTACGGCATGCGATTTAAAAAAATCAACAGAACAAAACAATTTTGACCACCTGAACGAAGAGGAGACTTAAATACAATTCTACAGGCAGAGACTAGAATTTTAACTAGGGAAGGCCGCATCACGATGACCCAAATAAGGCACACTGCTTTCGGGCGTGGGGCGGAATTAGCTTCACGAGCATCTCTGCAGGCACTCCCTTAAGCTCTGCATCAAATCATCAGCATCAATACTAGCATCATTGAACCCCTCAATATCAAGATTATCATATAATAACCACTTGTATGGGAATGGAGATCATTACCATTGGCCTTGAAGTTAAATAGTGGAGGAAGAAACCGCCCATTTGGCAAGCGTGTATTTGGATCCCGCAGCTCATCAAAGAATGGATGGGCAAGACCCTCCAACTACATTTGCACATAGCACAATTGAAATAGTAAGCACAAGGTCGTTTGTATGTTATTGAGTGATTATATGTAACCATAAACATTGCCGAATGAAGCCAAAGGATGCACTTGATTCAGAAAACTACAAGACAAGCCATTTTATAATCTTGAAAAATTAGATACTCACAGCTGTGCATCGAAGATTTGGAGAGTACTGCAGTAGTCTTGAGACAAGATCCACGGCTTCAGGTGGCATGCGCTTGTGGAAGATCTGGAGATGAATCATTCGAATTAACATTGCAATGCAGCAATTTCTGTGAATGGATAGAATAAAAGGGCGTTACAATACCTTGTGCCATGGATGGGCTTTAATTTGGGGAAATTTGTACTCTGTGTAATTAGGATTCATGCATTTAATTTCTTCTCTCGTTGGGGTACCCAAAACCTGCATTTGAATGCCATGGATATTGAGATATAAGCATCAGCATGAAGAGGCAGAGAACCATTTTTGCATCTAATATTCTTCACAACTTATCTCACCTTTATAATTTCAACAAGCTGATCCACTCCACTCTCACCAGGGAAGAGAGGCTGGAAGTAATAGAAACTTTGCTTAGTTTCCATAAAGCAAGGAATTCTCAATATAAAAGAATCCACAATCAACATCAAACAATATATAAAATGGTTAAATACCTGTCCAAGCAATAGTTCGCCTAGTACACAGCCGGCAGACCAAATGTCAATAGCTGTGCTGTACTCAGTAGCACCAAATATTAGCTCAGGAGCTCTATAGTACCTAGAGCAGATGTAAGATATGTTTGGTTCACCTTTCACCTGTCATATCCATTAAAAGAATAAAGTCATGTAAAAATAGAACATCCAAGAAAACAGAATAGAGGGTTTCCAAAAATATACAAACCAAAACTTTAGCACTTCCAAAGTCACACAGCTTCAACTGGTGAGTGTGAGGGTTGACCTGTAATGGAGAAGCAAATGAATTGAGTTAAGAAAATAAAGCCACAGAGAAAGAGAAAGCCAAAACTGTATGATTAAAATCCATGCATTATTTTGTATATGCCACAAGTTAAAATTCTGAGCGTTACACAGACAGCAGTGTCTTTAAAGTTTCGTAGATATTATGTTTAACAATTTCATGCATATAACTACAAATGTTTAATCACAATAATCAATTTTCACATCTAACTTTTAAGAATCTGTTAGCCTTGTAAAAAGACAAAAAAATAATGCCAAGTTAATATTGACTTCTTCAATAACAACATGACAGTTGTACGTGCTTACTTTCCAGAATGATATTGACATGTGACACTGAGTACACCATCAAAATCAACAGACAGAAAAATCACAAAAGTACAAATAAAGCAACACATAATTTGCACAGTGCATTTTAACCAAACGTATGTGAGAGGAACATTAAATACTCGGTAGGATATCAACATACCAGTAAATTTTGAGGCTTTATGTCTCTGTGACACACTCCTATACTGTTGTGAACGTACGCAAGCGCTCTCAATATCTGGTAACAAAAATAATGATGATAATGATAATAAAGAGACGTGAGATTCAACAAAATGATATCCATTGAATACTCAGTAGGGTAAATATGATTAAAGACATACTAGCACAGTATACAGAAACATACTTGGTAGAAATAAAGCTTCACATATATCAACGGCATCCTTTGATTCATTTTATTGTAGTGTCTGATCACCCGATGGACAGTTTCAGGAACATACTCAAGTACCAAGTTAAGATAAAGCTCATCTTTTTCAGTAGTTGAAAAGAAGCAATGCTTCAAAGATACAACATTAGGGTGGTCAAGAAGACGCATAGTTTGCAATTCCCGGTTCTTGTATCTCTTGTCTTGAAGAACCTTCTTTATAGCTACTGTTTCACCAGTCTCCAAGCACTTTGCCTGAATAACAAAGGCCAAACAACATACAGTAATCATTACATGGCAAAGTTCCAAAAGCACCAAATCAAAAGCTTCCATCTAAAGAATAAAAGGACTAACCTGGAAAACCACACCAAATGAACCTTGTCCAACAACACGCTCAGCCATGTAGCTTATAGTCTACAGCCATTAGGAGGAAAATAAATAAGCAACTGAGCGCATTTTCTTCATGTAAAATATAAAAAGAACACGCAAGCAATTAAAAAAAATATACCTGCTTTGGCTGGCCATTTTTACCGCCAATGGTGGTCACAATTATATGGCCTGTTTCAGTCCCATTCCCATCTACAACAGTTGCCTCCATTTCCTGTAATTTATTTAACAAGCTTCAACATAAATAGACTGGATATGTATCAAGAATGTGTTCAAAGGGGATGCAAAAAGAAATGCAATCGGAGGAAGATGACGTGGAGGTTTGCTTTTACCTTGTCGTCTCTAATTTTCATGTCACTCATCTCCTCAGGCAGCTTGTCAATGCCAACCGTATTTGCATTTACATCTCTCAATCCAGAAGCAGGTGCTACACCCGCTGATGCCATCAAAAGAAGTGATTTGGCAGTCTAGCTTGCAGATTCAGCCACCTCAAACAATAGGTCATACAGACCCTATAGAGGCTAAATGACTTATAAAGAGCAACCCTGGGATTGAACAACAAATCGATCTTTCAAGTCTTCCAAAAAGTCAATGGTTCACCTGTACAACCGTTACACAGAAATAATAGGTAATTCCAACTTACAAAGAATAATGAGTTCAGCAGTGCACTACTTAAATGGAGATGATACCAAGCATACACACACAGATACAGGCCTAAATAAACTAGCTTTCTCATGCAACACCAATGAAAGAAAATTAACTATAAACGTAAAGCAATTTCTCTCGGTTGAGAAGGAGAGTATCTTCCAAAAGAGGACCCGGATTCTGTCCAGGTGGACATGGACAGCTTGTGGATCTAACAAAGCACTGAAGACCTAACAGAAACACGCCCAAGCAATTAAGATTTATAACAAAAAAATCATGCAATCTGAGTACAGCACCCCATCTAGTGCCGCAAAATAAGTGTGGCAGTGGCATACTACCCTCAGGACAGAGAGGTGGCATCTAAAAAGCAAGGCATAAAATATCTGACAGTCTAACGCAGTTTCTGGGCTAATATACAGATTTCTCGACAAACAACCAAAAAAAAAAAAAGCAAGCAAATGGATATCCAAACTAGAACCGAAAAGAGCCCGAAACAAGAAAAGTGAGGTAGCCTGAAAGGATTTTCACCCGGCGATCAGCGTACAAGAAGGAATCGTATTTGTATTTTGAAAAATCTAAAGAAAAGACTAAATTGAAGACTGACCAACCAAGATGTGAATTAATAAGAAGCAAAAAAACACAAAAATTGAAAGCAGTCGAAGTTTCGTCGTTGCAGGAAAGCGCATGAAGATAAACTCACCGATCTCGGGGGGAAAATTCAGCGGAGGCCGGTTGAGAAGGAAGACTGAAGATGAATAAAAAGGTGGGGGGGGGGGGTCGGGAGCTTGGATCTGAGGTTGCTGTATCCCTCGGATTCGGAAGAGAAGGGGAAAGAGACAGAGAAAGAAAGGAGGAGAGAGGAGCAAATAATTGACAACGTTGGGGTCGGGTTGGGCGTCTTTTGCTTTCTTTGCTTTTTATTTGCTTTGTCTGGTGACGGTGTCGGATCAGTCAACATAAGCACCCAACGCCTATCCCAAACTTCT